GCAGGCACTCCCCCGCCCCCCCCTCACCTTCCCTCTGTTTCCCTTTCAGTTCTTCAGCGTTCTGTTGGGCGTGTTTCTGCATTTGGATCTTCTTTTCATCTCTCCTGTTCGAAGCCCTGTGTGTGCTTGTGCCCCTCGATAGCTGTTTCCAGCTGCTTGCTGGGAAGCACCATTTGGGGAAGGGGAAAGAAGTGCAGTTGCTGGAGGAGAAATAACGGGACCCCAAAAGGTGGCGGGTCTGCGGGTGCTAGAAACGCCACAGCCCACTTCGCTGCCACCTCATGCACTGATCTCTCTGAGCAACAGCTTTCCCTGGGGTTAGGACAGTCCTTGCACCTCTCCCACGCAGGCTTAGGTGCTGGCGGGGGTGAGTGCTGCCGCCTTCGCTCGGGGGGTGCCTGCAGCGAGGTCGGTGCTGCTGTCGAAACCCGCAGCGAGTGCAGAGCGTGGGAGGGGGTGAGGAAAGTCTCTGCAGCGCCGAGTACGCGCTGCGTAAGGTGCGTTTCTAGAAAGCCAAGCTAAAATTGGAAACCTTACAAGACAGTGCTGCCATCTTCCCTGTCCCAGGACTGGTGTGGAGAAGCTGGAAATCTGGAGGAAATGGAAAAATCTGAGGGTTTTTTTGTGAAATAACTGGTCCCTGACTAAAATGGCTCCAGTTCTGCTGTGCTTCATGTTTCCTTGAACAGAGAAGGACATTGAGAGAAATCCCTTTATCCACGTTGACCGTATTCCATGCGGTTCTGTGCCGCCGTGGGCTGTGCGGCACAAAGGAAGGTTTCGGGAGTGATGGTGGCTGTAATCGCTGTGAGCATTTCAAGAGAAGCTGTGGCCAAGGTTGCAGCTCCTTCCTGTGGAGCGGGAACTTTCCTTGAGATTTGCACCATTAGTTCCCCGTTCATATGCTGTCCGTGAAGTCCACGAGACCTATTTGCTGCTTGTTTATCAAAAACCACTGTTACTCCCACTGCTGTCCCTCTAAAACAAAAAAGTGTGCAGATCAGTAAGCTGAATTACCTCAGTGCCGTGGCACAGCTCCTTTTCTCATAGCAGATATCAGACCTATCCAAAAGCAACAGGAATACTGACTTTTCCCTCTCAGATATATCTCCTGGTACTTCCTCCTTGCCAAATAAATGTTTCCTGTACTGTTACAAAGTCTGACTGCTTGGTTTTGCTGGGCAGCTGACTGGATTCAGTTTGGGTTTTTTTCCCCCTCACAATTTTTAAGACAATAAATAGGAGGGAAATCTATGCTGGTTTGATTCCTTCCTCAAAAAAAGTTCTAGGAAAGTTTAATTTCACAGCTGAGGAATTCA